ATTATTTGCTTTGGTAATGAATCAATGACGTATGAAAAATTCTTTTTGTTGTTTAATACAGGAATGATGATCTTGTCGTTTAGAGAGTTACGTTATTTAATGATCATAAGAGCAAGAATTGAAAAAAGAGATAGCGGATTTTTATGAGATGTTATTGTTATCTTTGATTTTATGTCAAGCTCTGATTCTGAGTTCAGATTTTAGCTTCTTCGTATAAATAATACAAAAAAAGTGAATTGTAAATTATGAAAATCTCGATCAATGTCTTATTTTTCATGAATGCTTCTGAAATTCACGTGACTTATTGATAGAACTCTCCGTTACTTGCAATAAAAGAAGATGATACATTTATCGTTAGTACAATCGTTAACTAACATCTTCTCTGTACTAGATCTCAACTACCGTAGATATTGGACGTCTAAAAATTTGTGTGCAAATAATTCACCAGGAATGTAGATCAGAATCACCAATTTGCTTCGATTCCTTCAATACAATGGAAATGATGATGAATAATAATGGATAGAAATTATTGTTGCTTTGAACTTGGCACCTTAATGCTCATTGTAGATTGTAATTCAATAATATTCTGATGAATCGAGTTCAAACTTTTAGAGAAGCTTTGTCTGTAATATAAGTCTCCAATAGGAACTTGCTTCTGAAGCGAAACAGCATGTCAATAATCATCATGTTGATATACTAGACTTCAGTTTCAAATAAAGATATCAAGAATTATTCATACATTTGATGAAAAATAACGCAAAATTTAATAGACAGCTTTTTCAGGTTAATAAGCTTGAAGAAAAAGTAGACGACATCTATTATAATTCTCATTACATTTAAGCTATCAGGGCGACCTTACGCCTTTGACCTACGTCACAAAAAGTTCCCGACCTTCTGCATGTATAAAAGCTGAGATCTGCTGCAGGAAGACTTTTGTCAATTGTTGTATATAGAAATTTCAGTAATTCCGATAAATAACAAATACAGATTACAATTATGTAGAAAATTCTTTCCTATACATCGGTAACCAGAGAAATCCCCTGAAGATGACCTACTCATATGTTTGTTATTTCTAAAGTTTCTTTTTTTCAGAAATCTAAACATACCTCAGATAATATCAGTTAATACTTTGAAAGAACATGATAGATAAAAGCCTGATTCTGAATATAGCTAATCTGAAACAATCTTCCAACTTTAGTATTAATTACAAATAGTTAAAAACAAATGTTTGACAACACGAAATACTAAAGAGACTGATACCATTCTCAATCATTTTTATGGAAAACAAAAACACATGCAGATTGTTTCATGCAAGTTTTGATTCTAACATGTGGCTTTATTTCATTGGTTTATTTTATAACGAAAAACTGAAAGATACAAGTCTATGCAGACATGTTAAATTAGAATAAGGGAAACAAACATTTATAGAATCAATGTAAAAAAAAACTAAATGAAGTGGCGATATTACTTTAACAATGCTATAATGATTGATATAATCATTTTGAATTCGATCGATGACGCAATAAATCATATTATTAGTGTTTTTTGTTTTATGATGAAATAAAACTTTGTTTTCCTGATTTTAGTATCCAAAAATTGATATTAATGAATCAAGTATTAAATTTCAAGCAACTGGATGTAGTGGGTCGCGTGGTGAACAATTATATTCATTTGAAATTGAACTTTTTGATAAAATCAATACAAAAGTAACTTGAAATGAAGAAAATATGAGCAAATATTTTTTTTTTACTATTATTTTACAGACTAGTAATTATAAAATAAATGATCGTGAAATAAACGTTAATTTAAAGAAAAATACAACTGATACAAAAACTCCATGGCCCCGTTTAACTAAAACGTCTGCCAAATTACCTTGGTTAAAGGTTATAAAATTAGTATTAAAATGATAATAATCATATATTTTCATCTTCATAGGCTGATTTTGATAAGATGACATTTAGTGAAGATGAATCGGATCATGAGCAAAAGAAGTCAATGTTTGTAAGTACAACAATGAAAACACCAATAATATTGTCTTTTAATATTATTTTATTGTAGAAAAATAATTTTGATGATGATATCTACAAATCACTTCGCCAAGATACTCGTAAAGCTAAATCAAAAAGTAATTTAAAATGAATAACTTCAAGCTAAGACTGTTAGCATTTGAATGTATAAATCTCTAGTGGAAATCTATTTATATAAAATGTCAAGAGTGTGTCTTTTACCAAATTAAAAGTCAACGGTAGCATGAGATGGATTAACTTTTGAACCAGTAATAGACACACGTTATGCAATGGTTTTAAACTTCCGTGATCGTTCGCTTATAGTATAGGTACTAAGACAAATTTAAAAAAACAGAAACTTATATCTAAGATGCATATTTTTGATTTTTTATCCAAATTTATATCTGATAAAGATTCTAGTTTTCATACAATTGAAATGAAAATATTCAAGTAGTAATGTATATGAATACAATCGTTAACAACGAACCCGAAGTTTTCAATTTCAAAAATTTTCTTAAATGAAAGAGAGAAACATACGAATAAGAGCTCAGGCAAAAATATAAAGGAAAACTTTTATATCTCATGTAGCTATTTTCTTTATGACATAGTATTTTAACTAGCAGTGATCAGGCTTCCGAAAAAGAAAATTTCGAAAGTTTCGGAGATTTCAAGAATTTGTGTTCGGAATTGCACGTTACTTCCTAAAATGATGTAATTTTCGAAATTTCCGCAATGACGTACTTACAGAAATTTTTAAAATTGCTGAAATTTTCAATATGCCTAAGAACTTTTGATTTGCACTGCTATATAGTAATCGAGCTGATCGGAATTTCAGAAATATGAGTAATTTCCTTTTTTGGAAATCTGAGCACACCTCGAACGATATACATCTATACATCAAAAATCAAAATTTTTCCATTCCGAACATGTGCAGTAATCAGACTAATCTCGCACTCTTCTAAACCAGTTTTCGTCCAATTACTAAGATGAGATTGCATAAATACTCTACATGATATACTTTCGAATTCAATAGTATCATCTTACTCAAAATTCTTTTATGCCGGATGTTCAAGATGTTTGTAAGAAAAGTAAATGTAATTATCTCTTAACAAAGTTTAGCAATATAATCTTTGTATTAATCATATGATAATACGTTATTTGAGGCTTTATTTGATATAATTTGGCTGAGCAATAAAGTTCAGTAATGATTCGTATAAACTAACACCAGTGTTAACACATCTTTTTAGAATTATTAATCAAATTAAACCTTGTATGGTTTCACTGAAACATATTAAATCATAATTCAATACTCACATTAGTCGTAGAAGTCCACAAGCTATTGCAACAATTTGAATACTTGATTGTCGTTCATTTTGTCACACCTGACAAACTTCGTTGACCTTTAATTTTGTCATTTTGGAAGATCTATAAAAACGATTAGACGTCTCTCTGCCTACGTTCAACAAACTATTCTTATTTTTATACATATAGACATAGATATTTATTAGAAAATAAGTCGACTAAAACTTGGAAAAACAGCATGTCATATTATGAAAAAAAAAATAATTAAGTCATTTAAATTCTATAAGAGATATTTAGGTTTACGTTTCCAATAAACTCTTAGAATATTCCGTATCTGAGGTACCTATTGCGGCTGAAAACTCGCCTCGATACTAGAAGAGACAAGGTTACCGTTCCGTGATGCGATGAGTTTCGGAAATTTTTCGAACACCTTTTGCTTTACTGTGCTAAATTAGCAAAATTAAATTGAATCCATCAGACTCACCACGATTCTGACTGTTCAACTTCCTTGATAGCTGTTTTTGAAACGCACTCTACACCATTGACTTCAGCGCTGTGAACGTCTCTACCTTGTATAATGAACAGAGTAATGTAGTGTATACTTTTATTTTGAAGGCGTTGTTGATCTTCGAACGAATTGGTTACTTTTCTATAATCTTTTTCAATTTATGGCTTATTTATGGGTATTTACTCGTTTAATGATTCATTTTATTTTAAATGGACGTGAGTTTTCGAAATAATTTTATTTCTGTAACATCTTTTTTTTCTTTTATCAAGATTTGAAAGGTGGTTATAGAGTTGTAGAAAACCCAATAAAATTATGTCAATCAATATCGGTTCTTGAAATAATTCATCCATTAATTGGTTTTACTAAAGGTGATTGGTTATCACCGTTCATGCAAGTAAATAAATATAAATAAAAAAATATTCGAATTGATCGAAAAAGGAAAATAATATAACTTAATCTATTTATTTAGTTTTCTGGTCGAAATTTAATTCTATTTCTTGTTATTAATTATAATCATCAAATAAAACCGTCACCAATTATTTCTTATTTATTCTTAGTATGGAGTTTCGTTGAACTCTTTCGGTATAATAATAAAATTAAAATATCTTTTTTTTTTCTTTTGAAAGAAATTTCTCTTTTTTTGTTTTTCAAGCTATCCATATTATGGTATTCGTCTATTAAATAAACAAAATCGTATAATTACTTGGTTTCGTTATACACTTTGGATTATTCTTTATCCATTAGGAGCATTTATTGAAGGTTAAATAATTATTTTCTCATTAATTTGTTTATAATTCTTTTGTTTTGTTGTTATTTATTGATCTAGGTTTAATTGTTTACAAAAGCCTTGATTTTTATCATTCCAATCGTTATTTTACTCTGGATTTACCAAATAAGATGAATTTTTCATTTAATTTTGCTCTATTTCTTCGTATTTATTTAGTACTATTACCATTAGGTAAGTTATAAGGAATTGAAAAGAATAAAATTTCAGAGATATTTTCTTATTTAGGTCTTCTTCAAATGATGCAACATATGTGGAATCAACGAAAAAAGACATTGATAAAAAAGAATAAATAAAAGACAAATTTCTTTTTTTTTTGTTCTTTACTTGACTAAAAGAATTCAGATTTATGATCAACAAAAACAAGATAAATAAATAAAAATCAGTTTTATTATTTCAGATGGCACCAATAATTTCATCGTCACATTTAACAACAGAAAAAAGTTTTCGAAGATTATTATTATCAACTGAAAAACTTCTAGAAGCAAAATCTATTGAAGATTGGAAACTTAGTCAAGTAAAACAAAATATATTCTATATATATTTTTCATTTTTGGCCATTTAGTTTGTGAAAGCATTAACAGATATGTTAACTGATATGCGTAAATCAATAAAGTAATAGTCTATTCCTTTTGTTTTCAATAGATAACTAAGAAAAGATTTTTTTTTTTGTTAATTTTAGTCGACCAAGTTCAAAACAACTTGATGAATATAAACGAAGAATTGATATGCTTCGTGAAAATATTGACTCAACTAATTTAGTAGGCATAACCAAGACAAAATTTCACTAAAGGAAATTATTTTCAGTTTCCATAGAGATCATAATTTTTAATTATGTTCAAGCAAGATATTTTCACACATGAGTGACGTGAAAGGAAGAATGTAAAGCCATAGGAACCAAGCATTTTCATTTTGAAGTAGGCTCAACAATCTCTGTTAGATTCTTGCCGGAAAGTTATGAGTAGGAAGGAAGAGAGTAATCTTTTTAAGCTATTCAGTTGATAGACAGTTAGTATTTCTTATTTTCAACTCAAACTTTAGACTGTATAACGGCGTTACAGTTCAGAAAGAATTCGAAAATGATGTCAAATGATGTGCACTCGAAAAAAAACACATCAACATTTTTTTTTATTCATTTTTAACTAGTGAAAGAAAAGCTTCCGGTCTATTTTACTGAAAAACAGAATAATGATAAAACATTAATGCTCACAGGAAAAAGAAGAATTACATTGTGGATTTGCTGATTCTATTAATAATGTGTCTCAGGCATTAAAGTGTTGACACTGATGATAAAGAAAACTTTCGGCAGTTTTCGTTGATCTAACTCTAATTTTCCATTTAGGTCTTATTCACGTGTAACAAAACAGTATCAGATTTAATCATTGGTAGTGGAGGAATCAACGTATCAGTCATACTGAATTCAATGTTTTTTTTAAACATATTGTCTATTATTATGAGTAATCGAAGATGATGACAAAATTTTTACGTTTGTGTAAGCATTTCAATGTACTGTATAAGACAGTATACTCAAGCTTTGTAGCTCGGTTGTCTGTACGCAAAGCCCACTCACGAGTCAAAAGTTGAAATGAAAAGAGTGTCTCTTATAAACACTATGTCGACTGTCTGACAACACAACATATCCACTCGTTAGACTCTTTTTGGCTTCATATTTTGGCCACAAGCAGATCTGTGTGAAATTAAGCCAAGTCTTAAAAGATTCATGTCTGTAGTCTAAATCCTTTATTTTGGATTTTCCGAAAATGCCGTCGATGTTACGAGGGAAGTTTTCCAGTTGATGAATTGATTTTGAATTAAAAGTATGCGCATTATGTAAACCTAAATGATCTAGGAATATTCTGAAAAGAGTTCATGCTTTCAGCTTATTGTTAAAGAGATATTGCACTTTTACAGTATTGTTTAAATGAATGCTGTGATAACAAAAAAAGATTGATTTTCGAATTTCTAGCTGCCACTTTGCATAAAGACAGACCTTAATGATAGGAGTTTCATATCTTTTGATTTACTTCTATCTTAAACTACGAACATAAAATCTAGTGGTTTATATGAGCAATGTAAAAGATACATTATTACTAAAACTATATTTCAGAAGAAGAACAGCCGCAAAATTTGAACCATTTTCAAAAAACTACTCCTGTTCAGACTTGCCTCTATACAAAATTTCAAGTCGAAATTTAGGAAACAGTTTTTCTGTGACTACGACATTCATTTAAAATAGTACTGTAAATGCACAGAGTCTCGACTAAAATGAGATTTATCAGTTGGAAGAGACCGCTTGTTAGTAAAAAGTTTTGTCTTGAGATTTTATTAACCTCACAGAGATCAACTTGTAGCTATAATATGAAACTCAATAGTGCCCAATAGTTGAATATGTTCTCTCGTCAATCATATCAGTAAATATCAAAATGAATGTATAAAATGTCAAACATTTTCTGTTTATCTAAAAATTTAAATTATACTATAAGATTGAAGATTTTTCTATTTCTGACTTGAATAATGACCTAGCTAATGTATTTCAATTTCTCTGAGAAATATCAATTGGAATCTATTTTCTTTTATAGCTTTGACCATGATCATTAGCTTAATTTCTCTGAATTGGCTTAGTTGAAAGTCTTAAACTCATTCTTTCCATTTCATGTTGTTTCTAAGATAAAATGTAATTGTTCAGGCTTAACAACATTGATGTATTTTTAGAAAAAAACTTAAAAGAATATTCTACATATTTTTGATATCCAAAATATTATTTGCAACGATTAAATTTTCTTTTCAGGCAGATCAAACATTTCCTCGACAAATTATTCAACAGATATCAACAGATATATCTGTAAAAGAACAGCAAGTTGAAGTGACAACTACTGCAATAGCTTCTACTGAAATAGAAAAAAATCTGAATGCATCAAATAAACCTAGTCGTCGTAAGTAAATTATATTTGAATGATTTGAGACGAAACTATCTAGTTGATTAGATTGAGTCTAACTGAAAGAATTGATGTCGAATGATGTTTAAACAACACCTTTTAACTGTTTATACTTTGATGAAATTATATCAAATAGATCTTGACGACATTGATTTTTTATTTTCTAGCAAATTTAAATCGACAACAACAACATATACAATCTGAAGAAGATAAACAAGATGAAATAGCTACCTCAATGAGAGTAACAACTAAAAGTCTTTTAAATAATGCAAAACTTCTTCATGATGTTGTTATAAGTGATCAAAAAGTTTGTTTTAATTGTTTTAAATTCATTCTTTCAATATTCAATAATGATTCATTTATTTATTTTTTTTTTGTTAGAAAATTACTGAAGCAGAAAATTTAATTGATAATAATACAGCTAAACTCACAATACAAGGCAAACGTTTAAAACACAATGCATATAACGCATCTAATTGTTGGATATATTTAATGCTTATTATTGTTATTATTACATTTATTTATTTAACATTATTTATGCGAATGTTTCGTAAACGAACAGTCACAATAATACATTCAAATACTGGTTCGAAATCAAGTTCATTAAATCTTTCTAATAATGAAACAATAATTAACACTTCAAATATAACAACAACGACGAAATCTACAGACTATATAAGTTTATTATTAAATTATGCGAATGAAAATCATACAGATTTATAAAATAAAATAAAGAATATTATTAATATTATTAATAAAAACTAAAAGAAAACTAAATAAATCCAACGAGAAGAAAAAGAAAAGAGAAATGAATAGCAACCATAATCATCGACAGAAATATGACACTTTTCTTTTTCTGATGCTTTGCCTATGGCCCAACAAAATTTTTTTTCTATTGCATTGTTCTTTCTTTCGCGCCGTGATCTCTTTTCTTTAGCGCATCTTTTTTGCCCGATGGCTTACATTGATTATTTGTTTGTATGTATGCCATTTCTAAATATGAGAGAGAAAGAAATAGTCAAATACGACCAAAGAGAGGGAGAGAGAGAAACAACAATATATGTGTTTCTTCCGCTTTGGTAGAAGACGACTGTAGCTGATTTTTAAGCTATCGTTTCTTAGTAGTCCCTTATTGCAAGCGCATTTCTAACTATTGCAATCCACTGTTATTCGCTATTCATGAAACAAAAGAAAAATACAACTGCTGTGCACATAATATGACGAGAAAAAAAGCATTAGCATCGTTATTAAAAGTGCCTATTAAAAATTCTCGAGCACAGTAAGGTGTGTTTTTTTTCTTTTTTCTCCTTTTTTTTTCAATTGAATCATCAGATTTTTATTGAAAAATGAGAGTTCTTCAAATATTCTAACGTATAGCATGCACTAAAGTAAGGTAACCATCATTTGTCTACTAGTATTGAATGAACATTAAAGAGAACAACGAGATGAAAACGTAGAGACTATTTACTCATATCGATGTTTATTTCTTTTATTTATTTTAGTAAGATTTCTTTGAAGTTGACATTACCTGACTTTAAATAGAAATCTAGACGACGATTTTTTTCGCTTTCTAATCTGGAATCCCTCATATTTATTCTAATCACAACAGTTTCCCTTCTCATTTCCTTTTTTTATGTCGGTCTCGATCATTTTCTACCTTCTGCTTTTTTTGTGTCACTAGCTAGTTGACATTCGTATGAATGTTAAGTCTTGAAGTTCGAATAATTTATCCCGACGATGAATGATTTCCTTCGAGAGACTTTTGTGTTTAAAACATCTTCAAAGGTGATTATAGAAAAAAATTGGCATTAAGAAATTTTTCATCGACGACAGGAAGAATAATATACATATACATCTCGTTTTTCTATCAACAAAGTATTCTCGTATGTTTCTCCATGTATCTAAGTCAATAATGACATTTGAGTTTGATGTTTTCAATGTTGATCTAAGTACTTGTCTTCTTCGTTCTACGATGTTTCTATTTGGCATCTTTGATGAATATGTTATCTTTTAATGAATGATTTGAATCGAGTAGTATTGCTCTTCTTTCTTTTTCTTTGTGTCAAAAAAAAAAGAAAACGACCGTACCAATATGATCAACACGTGTAATCAGAAATCATTCGAGCACATGAATTGATCTCTGTAGGCTATGATAATATGACGAGTGAAAACGATGCAAAGAACGTAATAATGATTTTATGATTTCCAAGTAAGTCGCAAGAGAGACATACTAGCAGCTATTGATCATGCATGCAAGCATGAAACAAAAATATAGCGCGATGGACAAGCTCACTTTGATGAGAGCTCTCTTTTCTTTTTTTTTTTTCTTTTTTTTCTTTATTTCCGTTTTCTTCTCTTTTTCTGCATTTGTCTAGTACTTGCTATTCAGAGCGTTCGTCTCTATGAGAGTTTTTGTGCAGCTCTGTCAAATATATCACTCTAATTTGATAGAACTGTTTTGTTGTTTCGCACAAAAGCAAAAGAGCGCACCCGACAGTAACGCTATTAAAAGAAGTCATAATGGGCGCTTTTGGACAACTACTATAGATAGTTATTGTATTAAGCAGATTTGATATTTTCAAACAATAAATAGAGGAAGAAGCAACTAACAAGAACATGATTAAAACATTTTACAAATTATATTCTTTTAGCGGTTGTTTCTCTCGTTCTTGTAGAAATATGATGAGTCGTTCAACCAATAAGTACTACCCTTAAGGTACTACTGGTCTTCTTTATTATCATGGTTGTATCTAATGAATAGCAAAGCGTGTGTATGCATGTGAAAAATTCTTTATGTTGATTGCCGTTCAATGGGGAATTCGTTCACTTGAGCAAGCGAAAAACAATCCATGTAAAGTATTCACTCAGCTTGCGTGGCTAATTTTCGGCAGTGTATGGAACTAATTCAGTTAGGGACTGCACTACAAATAATAGCTTGCATGCCTATATATATATAGATATATATGTATATATCTATATATATATTGTTTAAAGTAATCTAAATCTAACCTCTTTAAATTTATTTTTATTTATCCTTGATACAGTCAATTTATAGAAAAAAGATTATTATCTATGAATGAAAACAGGTGAGAAAATAAACTCTGGAATAATAATAATAATAATAATAATAATAATAATTATGTATGGTTTGAATAACAAGACAGCTAATATACGTGATGATCGATGACTTTCATACAACAATGACATATATTCTTGTATTATTATAGCACACACAAATAACAGATAGTAGTTTCTATGCAACATGGAGAAGAGAAAAAGGTACAATGTATGACTGTTGTTACCATCGTCGATTACCTTTTTTTTTTTTTTTTGTTTTCCAAAATATGAAGAAAGAAAGATAATAAGAGAATGAGAGAAAAAACAGGAAAAGGAAATGAAAAAAATTCGACTAGTATATCAGGCTGTGTTTTTATATGAATGTGTGTATTTGGCTTGTCTCAAAGAGCTGATGAGAGAGAGAGAGAGATGGAGATCAGATGCAAGTATAAACTACGAGGTTTTATGGATTTTTACTTGTCTGTGCTTCTTTTTTTTCTTGTTTTGAGAAAAACATTCTTGTCAAACAAGTGTACATGTATTGACATCTGTTTTAGCATAAAATAGTGAGCATGATCGATCATATTAGAGAAAAATAGAGAATTCAACGAAATATATCTATATTATTCATGTTTGTTTTTGAGAAAGAAAAAATTTCTTATTTTGAAGATAGACAAACTACAACTCTTTTTTGTGTCTATTTCATTCTTTTTCTTTCCGTCTAATTGGATTTTTATGACGATATAATCTGAAGACACCGTTAAAATCTACATAGACATATATAGATGACTTGATCTGATATCGTATGTATATGGTGTGATTTTTCTCTCGAGGTCTCTTATCATCAACTCCCATCATCATGTCGTTTTTCTTTATAAGCTTGTTGATCCAACATTAAAGATGGCCGTTTTTTCGTACTTTTTCCTTCTTATTAAGAATGTACAATAAACATACTCATAAAGCTTATGATACGTAATAGGTTATTTGATCAATACTCCAATAACTGTTTACTAGGAAACCTACTGTTAGGTGAATGGAAATAATTATCATTTGAAAGAGATGCGCAAAAAAACAACAAGATCAAGTGAATGGCTGAAATGGCACGATTGATTGCTGTTTGCTTTCGAATGTGAAAACCTAGATATATTTGAAATTAAGGGAAATATTGATTTCTTTTTCGTAAGACATTTTCTGGTTCTCTCTCTTAGTTGTCATCCTTGTTCGAACAGTGAATATTGTTTTTTGAGGCGGGAAGAGAAGGAGATAGCGCGATTCTCAAGAGAAAGATAAGATAGGCTAGCAACAGCCGCAGTCAGCCTTATTTTCTTTTGTCTCTCTCTCTCTCTATCTTTCCCTCGCTTTTTTCTTCTGTGCTGGTTTCTCTCTTACAGTAAAAAGAAATATTATTTATTGTTTCATGCTTCTCTAGGCAACAAATATTTTCAGAATCTATCACATTCGTTCGACGAAACGTTAGTAATGATAATGATAAAACAATAATCACGATGATATTGCCGGCGACCAGGTGAAGAAGATTTTTTTGTATACTTTTATCACCATATGGCCTCGCCCGCTCGGGCTCGTTCAATTGGTACCCATAACCTGATTTCAGTGCATCGAGCCAAACATAAATTGATAAATAATATAATTAACGTTCCTATAAAAATCGAATCGAAGTCTTTCCGACTTTATGTTCGTCGATTCGATGGACTGTTTTTTAACATACAATCTCTCGTGTGTCAATGGTACTTTTGCTCAGTTCAATACGTCGTCAGTTATATTTGGAGACGTAATCGATCCAAGTGTTATAACCGATGGCGACAGTTCAAACAACGACCTAACAGCATCAACAGATCATCCAATATCATCATCGATACTTGTGTCTGTACAACATTGTATATTAACAGCAATTATTCTTGGTACAATTATATTAGCGACAATAACTGGAAATATACTAGTTATAGTTGCTGTTAAAATCGAAAAAAGTCTTCATTCAGTTGCCTATTATCTTTTTGTATCATTAGCCGTAGCTGATTTAATGGTAGCTTCTATGGTAAGTCATTAATAACTTCAATTTGTTTGTTTCTTTTCTTTATTTTTGTTTCTTCTTTAAACTGTCCAATTATAATGATAAAGAAATATATGAAAAACGAAGAAAATGGAATAGGGAAAAAAAAGATCATTGTTTTTCAATATCTCGATTTAATTAATCTTAGTAACTGTCCTAATGGATAGTTTGACATATATTATGAAGCAGTCTTTGACGTTCGTATATCCATCCATCAGTCTTTATATCTAAAGTAGTTTTTGTTTCTCGTTGTCTATATCTATTGCTATTAAGAAATTGACGATATGTTAATGCTGTTGACAGAAATTCTCGTTCTACAACAAGACTATAATGAAAAGAATTATGACTGTATGTCTTGAGTTTTGTCTTAGTTATTTCATAAATACGTGTATTATATACATTTGTTGTTTCGTAGCAAAAAAGAATTGTTTCTTGATGACCTACATGTGCTAGAACAGTATTATCTTCATGGTTCTTTCTTCCTCTTTTTGTTTGATGATAACATGAGAAGAAAAAGTCGACAGTCTCATTTCGACATGTATACAAGTTTTTTTTCTGATTACTTAATGCTATTGCCTTCGTTTATTCAAGAACAAACAAATAAATAAACAAATACACTCGACTTATTTATGACGTCAAGACGAGCACAAATAATTGGTTCGACCAAATGATCCTTGATTTTAGAGATAAACGATACACTGAAGACGATCCACTCTGCTTAATATCTATCTATCTATAGATATAAACATGTAAAAAAAAAAAAAAGATTTTTCTTTTTTTTTGCTTAAAGCAATCGAAAAGCGTTTACTATATTCTAAAGTTGATAGAAAACAAAGAATAAACCAGCTGCTACTGCTGTTACTATTTCTATTATTATTGTTTTTATTGTTATTTTTACGAAACATGAGTGATGATTGTGATGGATATATTGATAGAAAAAGAAAAGAAAGAGAAAGAAATATTCTCATCTGATTTTGCTTCGACTCGTTTCTCTCTTATTCTCGTTGTGCATGGTTACAGTTTGATTTTATTATTATAATTATTATTCAATGCCACGCACAATCTTTCTCCTATTCTATATACAATATAGAAAGATTCACATGCATTATTTTTATTCTATTCTTTTTTTGTCATTCCATCATTCAGTTATTTTCTTTTCTTCTGTTGTTTTTTGTTTAACACTCGAGTTTTTACTGATGTTTACTACATCGATCTCTGTCATTCTTCTTTTCTGAATGTAAGATTGTAAAAGACTAGAAGCTAAGAACAAAAAAGCAAAATAAGGACTGAATCACAATAGAGAATTTTGTGAAAATTGATGTTATCAAATCTTTTATAGTAAAAAAAGACACATCAAACATTGGTTTTGTTTCATAGGTTTTTTTTTGTTTTGTTCTTCTTGTTTGTTGTCTAATAAGTATAGTTGTCTTTATTTCAATGAAAATTCATCTACCTTACATACTTATAGATATATTTCGTATGTGCATAGACAAGTAAACTTTGAGTCTGTCATCATCAACATTACCACATCAGCATTTGGAATGAGGCATATTACCCGTCTGATTAAACATGTCGATCAACAATAACAACAAAAGCAGTGGCAGCAGAGTTAGTCAGTTGAATTATTTGCTTGTCATTCGACATTAGCATCTTTCTCTCTTGTATATATATATATGTATGCATGCTATGGATGATTATTCTTGGAATTTTCTTTGTCTATATATAAAAGAATCTTTTTTTCTCTCTTTCATATATACGGACAGACTTCGTTGACTTATTCCAATAACTATTTACTAAACAATAAATTAGACGTATGGAAGTATGTTGTCACATCAATGTTTGTCAAGTGGCTATACAGATCATACATACTGATAGCAAATGAGTTACGATGTACAAAGAAGTCAATGTCATTTATGTGGACTGTCAGATAGCATAATTGCACTCACGCTATGTAGAAACCATGCCATTCAATATATATATAGTTATAGATATAGATATATAGAATGTTGGTTAGTTGTTTTTCAAGTGTCCTTAGTGTACATGTACAAACAGATCGAAATTCAATAGGCACAAGTTAAAAGAAAATAACGATAGAATGAATAGCAGATGTGTGTAAAATTGATGCTTATGATAAGAAGATAAAAAAGAAAAATGAATCAACTAATAAATATAATAATTATATTTATTTACAGAATAATAATAATCAAATCAGTGACAATATAATGTTTGTTGAACCAATTTATAATATAAACAGAAAAAATATGATTATGCTCAAATAGAATTTCTTCTTTAGTAACATTGTGAATAATGATTGATTAGTATAATATTGGAAGACATTTCTACTAAAAAACAATTATCTAATCGATCAAATATAAAAAGAAGAATTTTTATTAGATGAAAAATATTTCTCAAATGAAACAAAAAACAGAGAAACATTGATCATTTAAAATAATATATATGTATATTTATTTAGGTTATGCCAATAGCTGTACTAAAAGAAGTGACACGTTCATGGGTACTTGGATCAATAGTTTGCGATGCTTGGGTTATGATTGATTTACTTTGTTGTACGGCTTCTATATTACATCTTGTTGCCATTGCACTCGATCGATATTGGGCTATTACTAACTGTAAGTAACTGATAGGATCGTTATTGAAGATTAAATTGAGAAGATAACGATACATATCCTTTGATCGAATCAGAAATCTTTTACTAAAAATATTAGCCATCAGTGACAAACATTGACATGAATAACCACTAGAAGAGAAAACATAGACAAATTTAATGTCTTTAGAAACTACATTGTCCATTTTTAATAATTTTTGCGATATATACTTTATCAATATGACTATATATGACTTGTTTCGATATGAAAATCGATATATTTTCACAGTTTTAAGATTGATCAGAGGTTTTTTTAATGTTAATTTTGTGTACTAATCAAAACGTTATAGACAATATTATTTTTCTATTCTGATTTTTGCTTTCAAAATTCAATAATTTATTGTAATAATTTATCTTAATGTTACAACTTTATATTTCAAAAAATATAGATTTTCAATAGAAAAATAATATTGATTCAAAACAATACAGATAATGCTAGAATGAGAGCATTTATTTAAAACTTTCACTTGAATTTTTCTTATTAACATTTTTAACATTAGGTAGACTAATAAATTACTTTATTTATTTATTTTTTCTTTATACAAAAAAAAAAAATCAGTGGACTATGCAACAAAACGTACACCTGCTCGTATTCTTATTCTTATATGTATTATATGGGCAACATCCATACTTATATCAAGTTCTCATCTATTTCCTATATTTCGTGACAAACGTGGTCGTCCACCAGGTCAATGTCATTTAATTGGCAATGTACCATATACTATTATATCCACAATTGGAGCTTTTTATATTCCTCTTATTGGTATGTGTATTATTTATTGGAAAATTTTTCAAGCTGCTAAATTTCGTATACGTCGAAAAGCATTCAATCCTGATCGTACTATACCACTACCATCATCAAGTATGAGAGCAACCGTAACATCAACATTAATTCATAATCCACATGATGTTTTATTATCTTCTGAAATTGCAACATTAAATCATGAAATAGCATTAACAGATAAGACTAAATATCAATCATTTTCTCCATTACAATCAAAAAAACGACATTCAAAAAAACATCCTCATTTATCTAATCATCATCCATTTGATATTGAGACAGATGCGTCAACAAATCAATCTAATAATGATTATCAATTAAAAAAGCTTAAAAAGACTTCGTCTTCTTATACTAAAAAGAAACATGATAGTATTATAACTACAACAGAAACAACAACAACACCTGTTATTCAATTATCTACAACAAATCGTTTCAAACAAGAACATGATGAATTACATCGAATTAATTCAACACCTTCACCTGGGTCAACACGTCGTTTAACAACATCAACATCTAATAAAGATTCACCAAAATCAATCGATAGAATAAATAATTCATTAGTAATATCAAATTCTTATCCATCAGATTCAACACATACTATTGATACATCAACAATAAAATCAATAACAAAAACTTGTTTAACTAATATAAATGATATTAATTCTCATAACAATAACAATAATAATAATAATAATAATATAAAAATTGTAACAAAATCTCCAAGTTCAGCATCACGTAAAAAAATTGATATTAAACGTGAACGTAAAGCAACTAAAGTTCTTGGTGTTGTTATGGGTTGTTTTATATTATGTTGGTTACCATTTTTTATTGAAGAAACAATATGTGGTTTATTTCATTTAACAATAAATGAAAAAATTATTAGTGTTTTAACATGGCTTGGATATTTAAATAGTCTTTTAAATCCTGTGATTTATACAATATTTTCACCTGATTTTCGGCAAGCATTTGGAAAAATTTTATTTGGAAAATATCGTAAAAGAAGACGAACAAAGAAATAATTATTGTCTCTTTTTCTTTTCTTGTTCGTATTATATATATATATATTTAAATTTCTATATGTTTATGTATGTTTTGTTTTCTTTTGTTTCTTGTTTTTGTCTAATTACATACCGGTTATTAAAAAAACAAGTCTTTTTTTATAAATTCTCAGTGCGCATTGTGCAGTAATTTGTGTATTTTTTTTCTCTCTTTGTTTTTTTTGAAGTAAAAAGCTTAATTTTTTTTATTTCAAATGTAATCATGCACTTTGTTGATATTTATTCCAAACTAGATAAAAATTAAATATGTATTCCAAAAAGTAATTTTAAGACTTCAGATGACATTAACAAATTTCAAAATATTTCGTCTATTTTTCATCAGAGTTCTATGTATTTATTTATGGAACAAATAAATATTTCATCGGGATTTTTAAAACCTTTTTTTAGACTTAAAGCAAATTAAGTTTTTCAAAATATTCATTCTATTATCAATTATTTAGCTATCAATTATTTCCAAAGAATAGAAAGATATATATAAATGTATTTTTCAGGGTTATTCTTAGAATCATAAATGCTATGAAGTTATAGAAACGAAGTTGAATCCTATTAATCGACAAACTTATGATGAAAACAGAAAAAAAAGAAATATTTACTACTTCAGTTTATTTTCTATCATTATCTTTTACATGCGATTATGGTGTCATTGATCTCAATTCGCATTTTGTTTTGTCTCGTATTTGTATTTACAATAATTCATAGAATTAACACTTATCGTATTTACCATCCAGAAAATGCGTTAGTTAATACCGATCATGAACGAATTACAATGCAAAATGCTGGACAATATCAACAAAAACAGGTGCAACTTCGAAGTGTTCTTTGGCCAAAAATTTGTTTTACAATGCTAAAAGAATATCATGGTTATCAATATTCACGAGAACCGCATCATAATCATATGTTCCAGCAAGTAACACGAAAATGTTTTCCATTAGAAATTCAATAGTTTTTGAATTTTTAATAAATTAAATAATAAAAAAAATCTTATCATTTGAACAAAAACCTTACAACATACCAACATTGACATAGGCTTTTGTTTGTTAAATTTTGAATACAATTAATAAAAATGCGTAATTCGCGCTCTCACTATAATCTATTTCAATTAATTTAGAAATAAAAAAAAAACTATGCCATTAGCAATAAATGATTTACAAATTCGAAGTAAGCATGGTCATTGTCCAATTGATCCTACAAATGAAACATGTGAAAAATTTTTTCAAATATGGTCTCATAAAGCAGCTAATATATCTAATGATTTAATTGAATTTACAATACGACGAATGCAAAGTGATCGTCTTCGTTTTTTATTTCAAACACGTAATGAAATTACTCAACGAGAAAGTATTTCACCTATATGTCAAATATCAACACATATTGGTGATGATTTACAAAGAATAAATGAATATATACGTCGATTTTGTTTAAGTACAAGAAATCTTTATCGACATTTACGTTCAGATTCACGTCTATATCCTAAAATGTGCATTGAGTTAGATGAAGGTATTATAATTAAAATTTGTCGATTTATATTTAAAACTAAAGTTTTGATTAAAATACTTTCAAAAGAACAACATTTAAGTGTAGAACAACGTGAACAATTAAAAAATTATAAAATAAAACAGAATGATAAACAATTTGATATAAATGATCCATATAGAAATATTACAAAAGCATTTATTGCATTACAATCAAATTTTGAAATACTTTTTGGTGATATTGTAGATAAAGATTTTTTTCAAAATGCAAAAACAGGTATTCTAGGAAAAAGATTTATTAACAATAGAATACTTTCAATTGTTCAATTCTATTTGACTTCGTATTTTAATTTAGTGTAGACTTTTATGAGATTAAGAAAAATACAAAAAAAAAGATTTAACAATTCGACGATGAGATATTATACATTTTCATTCTCGTTTGGGGTGTTCTTTATACATTTTTGACATTTGCAGTATTATAATCAAATAAGATAAGACGAGTTTCAAAATGTTATAGAAAATGAGACAATATATCTGTTAATCAACAAAAAAGATTAGAAACAGTACCTCTTAGATCAGTACTGTATGGATAGGAAATACAAGGTTTTCAGCATTTATTCCATATGTGTTTCTAAGAGTCATCATCCTGTCTAGAAAACTTATGAATTCTGTATTTTTTTGATTTTTAAAATTCTTAGTGATCAAATCCTAGCAGACTATAAGATCATTGAGGATCCTACAATTCGAGATATTCTCTTATCAATATACTTAGTAAAAAATTTATTCAATAAACATATGTATTAAAAAATCTTCAATTAAAGCTGTTCAAGCCCTACCAATAATATTGGATACCAGTAAAACTATTCGATTAATTTTTTGCACATTATATAAACTTACTGAACCTGAGCGTGAAGCAGAAAAAGAAGCTATACGTCAACGTCGATTAAGTAGAAAGAAACCTCTATTCAGATTTTCATTATCAATAAATGCTTTTTGTTCTAAGACTTTTGTATTCGTGACTGTGGCTCAAAAAAGCAACAATCTCTAACTACAAATATTCCAATTAACAATCAAGCTAATACTAAATTTAAAAGCATAAATAAAATGTTGAAAAGAAATCAATCACAAATAACACATTCTAAAACACCATCATTATCTCCGAAAACATTTGCAAAAGATAAATCAACAAATCAACAAACTACTAAAGTTAAAAACAATAATATTTCCTTTTGATAAATCTCATTGTTGTTTAGACAAAAGAAAACTCAATGAGAATACAATCTCACAAGTAATAAATTATTGCTTTTTGATTTGACACAAAATAAAAACTTCTTTTTTTGTTTTAAGATCTCAATCGCGTACACCAAGTACAATAAGTAAATAGATTCAACTGGTAGAAATAAATATATATCGATTTTAGCTTTAAAAACTAACAAAAACGGTCAATCATCATCCATGTAAATTTGTCGTTGTACATCAATTTAAATTAATCACTTCATTAGTTTTTCTAGAGCTAAGACAAACATTAATTCCTCGAAGAAAAATTTTGCAAAAGAACAAAGCAAAGTATTTCGATTCCATTTTTTCTTTTTGTTTAAACTATGAGTTGTTTTTGTATGAACAACTAGACAAAAATTTTAAACCTAAAAAACAATAAAACTCAAATATATTCAAATACATGAAACTATTTATTTCTTTTTTTTTTCTTCCATCAGAAGAAATCAAAAAATAAAAATGCATCAACAACAAATTCAGTATTCTCAAGCCAGTATCATGAAAATACTAATTCCATAAACATTAATAATATAAGAAAAAAATTTAAAAATTCAAACGCTGATCAAACTGAAACATCGAACAAAATAAAACTCGGTTGGACAACATGGTTAGATAATACAAATCTTAATCTTACAACTAACATAACATCAAATCAAACTAATACCAATATGAATGATAGGGGTACGCAAGCTCAGTTTTACTTCGAATTTAAGGGATCCTTGAGAAAGTTCTCTAATTTGAATTGATTTATTCGAATAGTTCAATTCAGATCTTAGAAGCTGTTCAAATAATTTTTTATTGATAGGAACTGTTCTGTTTCCTAGATGTGCACTTCTGGGTTTAATAATCCTTTGATCTGTTTTTGAGGACCGTACCTTCCAATGGAAAAATCTTTGTTCTGTTATTATAATGCTTAACCAAAAGCACAATAAAATTATTCAGACAGCTAAGTATTTGGATCTGAATTAATTGAACAGTTCTTTTGATTGGAATTGATCTTTTTCAACAGTTCATTAGATTATTTGGTCTAAAGTTGTTCTAGATCTCGAGAATAATATTCATTTAAATCTAATCAATAATTTATTTTTCTTATTAGATATAAATCCATCAAAGCCTTTACTAACAACTTGGGCTGCACTTGAACGAATATCAAAAATGTGACTATGTTTTTGAAATAATATTTAACTTCAGTCTAGCTCATTTAATAACTAAAATATTTATTCATTAATTAAATATTAATTATATTTAATCAATTATTAAATGAATTAGTCTCCAATCATATTGAAACATTACTTAAATAAATCGATTTTTGTCTTTTATATTGTAATCAATATAAATCCTTTTTCTAAAAACAACATATCAATTTAATTTTAAGTGTATTATTGATAAAATGATGTTTAGAAAAAAAAATGAACTAAAATTAGTTGTTATTCAAGATACTATTTATGAAATAGTCTATGATCAATGTTCATCCTTGAAGAAATTTCATCAAATATTCTGTAATAAAAGATAAAATTAATATAACTTTTAATCTGATATCTACGTTGGATGTATCAATTATATACAGTGGTTTGCATAAAAGCTTGGTTTCATATTTTTCAATATTGTTCTTATGAGATTTATTCATTTTGGTTAGTCTCAGATTAATTGAATAACCCAACAAAGACATCATCTATGTGTGTATTTTGATATTATTTCCACCCATTGTTGGGAAAAACATGACGGATAGAATTGATACAATTGTAAGTTTCTAAAGAATTTGCAATGGATCAGAACAACCATTTAATGATCGCAAATGCTAGAAAGCAATACCAAGTTACTTTTACAATATGAAAACTGAAAATTTATATATCCACTGTGAGGAATACGAACAAAAATAGATAAAATTTCTCAAAAAAAAATTGAATTCAATTGCCAAACAAGTATCTTTCAATTCTATGTAATATTTAGAAAAGATTTTAAAAATGAATATGCATATTGAGAAAATCAATCAGTACGTAGTATTCATTTTGGATTATCCGACTATATCAGAATTAACAACAATAAATGATTCCTATGAAACTGGTATAAAAATTGATGGGCCTAAATTGTTTTGAACACTACTGTGTACATAAAACGACTAACGAGAAACAGTACCCAACTGGAAAAAAGACTCATTCGAATGGATTGACATGACTAGATTTCTTCCGACTTCAAAATTGAATTTTAGCGTCTTAATATTCTGAGAATTTTTATTTTCAAGTATTCGTAACTAAGATCTTTGTTTTCATACGATAGAAATATATTAACTTTTTATCTCTTACTAAGTAAATATTAACACGACTTCTAGAATAAGGTCAAAAGAAGCGGATTAGAAGGCTTCCTCTCTCTCTTTGAAACAAGTGGAGCTTCTCTCTAAGCTGTATCCTTCCTTTCGCTAAGTGCTTTTTTTTTTATTTAGCTGTACTTTTTGTTGAAGACTGTGAGTATACCATATCACTAAACCAACATTCTTGAACTTTTTTAATATAAAGAAACCAAATCAGTACCTTTTGAAAAGAAAGAATCATTTCCATAAAAAGTACAAAAGGAAAGTAATGATTTGCAGATTTTGCTTGTTAAAAGGTCGTGATAATCGACAACAGTATACAAAAAGAATCTAGATTGTTCATTGTCAAACATTTCACATAAAGCATTTGTCTACATATTTCATCTCAAATTGTTCTGGCTGAGATCTTGCCATCTGCTTTACACCGGATAACATTTTCATAGGAAATGTTTGATGCTGAATAGTTGAGGGTTTTTGTTACATATTGATGACGAATATCGTAGTCTTGTGACAATTGGAATATGAAGACAATACCTATGCTTTTGATAATTTTTTATAGCAACGACTTTTGTTTAAAAAGTACTGATTTGCTGTGTTCATATTAAAAAAAATCATTAACAAGAAGTACAGGCGTCATTGCTTTTCTCGAAAAAGACAAAATCAGATTCTTGTCTTGAACGATAATTAATAAAACAGCAATATGAAACTCACTGATACAAATATACATTTTGAACGCATCATTTCTTTAGTTGAATGTATTATTTTCTCGATCATCATTTTTTCAAGAAAAAATCTTGATTTTGAGGATAATTATTATTTATGTTTTGGAGAACATATTTTATCGATACCTTTCGAATGACCTTTTACATAGTAGTTAAACTGTAATCAACGAGGAAATATATTTGTATTTATTCAACTACTGAAGAGCAAAAAAGTTGATAATATTTTTTACGAAAAATTAATACATATATTACATAATTATCATTCTCTATCGAGAAAAATCAATATACAAATAAAGGTGAACATCATAATGTCTTAACCACTAATCTGTTAACAATAGTTCTACAGTATAGTGTCTTGTTTAACACAAATCTACTGTTTCTCAAGATGTTAGTTACTGATTCTTGTAAAATATGCATTAGCTAACCAAGGAACCACTTGAACAGATATCCACGAATTGAACTCATATAATACCTTGGTGAGACTAGCAAATGTCTACAACAGTTCGTTTTTATCGACCTTTGAAACCGAGGAATGATCATTGTACTGATTTTCGGGTTGAGCTTTGAGAATACAAAATTGAAAAATCAAAAAGCAGAATTTCAATACTGAATCTTGCCTATAGATTACTCTAATGATTAATAACATATTCTAAAAGTTCTACCAGGAAAGAATATTTCCTTGTCAAGACATTGAGTTTTCACGTAAACTCAATATCTCGACAAAAGAAAAATTTTTTCGGCTGAAATTTTTAAGATATTTTACGTGTCATTCAGTCTATAAAATGTTTCACGTCGAATTTCTTAGCTTTTATTTTTCGTTAAGTATTTAAAGACCAAAAATTGAATTAAAACCGCCTTAATATGAGCTCAATTAGTGGGTATCAATTCTTGTGATTCCTCTTCGTAACATTCAATTCATGTGATTATTTATAACTGAAAAATGATAGTTCTCAGAGTAAAACCAACTTCAAAATACTGCAAGGTGATATGAAATGTCTGCAAACATTTGACTAATTTCTTTCTCCGTGCAAGATATTTTTCTATGTAATTGAGATGTTTACATTACATATATCATTAATGTTCTTGTAAAGAAAAAAAACATAGCTTGATACAATAGAAATTACTAGTGACAACTGAAAAACATCCATTAGATGCTAATCAATGCACGTATCAAAAGTAGATTACAAATCATAACAACATTTGTATGATATTTTCTACCCATATTCTTTGAATAATTATTCTGAATGTTAGATCTCATCAAAATTCTTCTTGCATAATATTTTTGAAATTACATCTAGCAAACATTCAAGACAAAATAAACAAAAAGATATGATAATTCCTTTAAAAAATATCAATTGGTCAAGATTTTCAATCTAAATACATACAAGCGAACCATTGTCCATAGAGCAACTGTAAATAATCCCCATATGGCTTGGCTTCTGATAGGTATGGAAAATGCTTGGCCACGATATAACTTATATAAGAAAGATATCTGTCATGACACTGCATGAATTTATATTGATTAAGAATGTTAAAAATATTTAACAGACGACAACAAATAAAACTAAAACTTAATCTTCTAATATTTAAGATCACATCCGAATAATAATGAAATGAAAAATATTGGAAAATATTATGGATTCCACTGAATTCAAAATGTAAACTATAAGAATAGTCAATTTCCAATCAAAAACGTTAAGATTTATGAAGATAATTTCAATATTGCAGACAGAAAACTAGGTATCATAAACCAGAACAAAAACTCAATCGATAATCAAAGATAGAAGAACTGGAACAAATCTCAATTCTGATAGTGATCACTTTAAGTCATGTAGAGTCCTTGGCATATTAGAAGATTCGAGGTCTTCTAATGTGTAAAAGGCTTTACTCAAAACATTTTCTTGTACATTGTTTAAAAGAACATAGATATTCTTTTATCGATGAAGAACACTGATGGTACTAATGTAATTAATAATCGTAATAGAAATATCAATATCATCGTCATTTTGTTACAGTTGTTTCTATATCAATTCTAAATATAACAAAGTTTCAACAGAAATCTCAATGGACAAGACATTCTCCTCAAATATCATTTGTCTAGACTAATCAAACTTCGCAAAGAATCACAATGAGATATATCTAGAAATCCAACTGGACAGACACAACTGTCATCAAATAATATCATTAAATAATATGATGTTGAAAGATAGTTGTTCTCTTAATTGATATATGTCTTTGATTGATTTTATCGATATTATGTATTATGTATAACGTCTTAAGTCTATTTTTTTTCTTAATAATAACTGATTACAATCGTTATGTTTTAATGATATGTTGTGCTTTTTACCTTTTTTTTTGAATAATAGTAATAAATTAAAATGTCCAATTCACTCAGACGAAGAATAATTGATAAATAAAACCAGCATGAAATTGAGTGATCGAATATTAATATTCTCAAGAGACATATAAAATTGTATTCTAGAAAAAAAGTCATCCCTTGAGATTAAAACCATTGGCATACAGCTATCATTAAAATGCAAACATGGTTAAAGGTCACTAGTCATTTCAATAGAATTAACACAATGTCACATGATAAATATAAAAACTATCAACAAAGAAAAACTACATTATTTTTATTTTCATTTACACTATTTAGAAGACTTCTTGGATGTGAACGACATCACAGAATAAAGAATAGAGGATGGTTACCATGTTAACTTGAATATTTGTTACTGACAAATGTCATATACAAAAAAACAAACATTTTTGACATAAATAATCTATTGTAAACCATGTCGAATATTCAAAGAGCACGTCGTATTCCAAATGCTAATGGTCAAATTTTAATTGAAAATTGGGTTGAAGAACGTGCAACTGAACATCTTGATCATCGACTTGAACAACAAAACAAAAATCTACCAACTTCACCACCAACTACAAAAAAAACTTCTCACACGGCCTTATTAACACAACATTTTGAAGCTCCTCTTGATAATGCTACAATATATCGTCAAAATTATAGTAAATTTGGACCATTTGAACAAAAAGAACAAGGTGCACGACGAAAACGTCTTGAGTATGAATTAACACGTCAAGTTACATCGGAATTAAATGCACGCAAACGTGAATAT